GTGTGTGTGTGTGTGTGTGGGTGTGTGTGTGTACTGCATGTCTACATCCTCCAGTGTAACCTGTGAGTTACGACTTCTGGCATGAATATGCAAACTGTTCAAGCAACGAGGGGAAACAAATTGAGCCTTTCCTTCTGGGATACTGAGCTTCCTGCTGTTCAGATATTTCCGAGCATCTGTTTTCTTTTTCCATCCTTCATTAAGTGGTTGTTTTTTTCATGACTTAAAGATTAGATGTTTCGAAAGTCTTCATTCAGAAATGTTCCTAACTGTGAGTCTCTTGAGGAGGAAGATGAGATTTTGCGTCGCTTTCCTTCTCTTGCAGAATAAAATGGAAAGCGAGTGCAGACAGAGTGATTGGTGTGACAGTCGAGTTCCTAACACCACAAACCAGCACCCGGGGACAGCCAATGGTTTCCTTCATGATTCATGTTTTGTTGCTGCTGTTTACATTCCTCCTGATGCAATTTTAAAAGATGCACTACTTCATTTTTCTTGTGCAGCAAACGGGCGACAACTGCACTTCGTCGTGCAACCGTTTGTGTTGCGTGATGATAAATCATCCTTGAATCCTTCAATGTGATCCGATTACAAATGTAGCTGATCATTTACAAAGAGGGCTTTAGTCCTAAAATACAGGCAACTGGTAGAAGAGTACATTAAGTATGTTTAACTGCGAAGCAATGATTACAGCAAGTTATTCAAACTATACTGCACTCGAAAGAGAGAAAAATTGACATTTATTTTGCATTTTCCTTTCCGTCTAATTTCCCATGACTCTCACTTCTACATCTGTCACAGGAAGAACCGACTCCCTTGAGAACAACATAAAATGTGTGAATCGTATTTTTGCTCTGAGGCATTAAGAACAAAGTCAGCGACGTTGTTTTCTTTCACAACAATAAAGCGATGACAGCACTGACATCAAATAACCCACATACGTTATTTGCATGTTATACTGTGTCTTTTCAATCACACTGATTCAAAACGCTGATTCATGTCCAGTACAATCTTATCTTGGGTGTTAATCTATCAGTTTTAGATCATTTGTCACAGAACTTTCATGTTGAGGTCATAAACTCTTATAAAGGCCAGTAGTGCCCGAGGGTTTCTGGCTACGGCCAACACACAATACCAACAAGCGCCTCAACTCCCCCCCCCCCCTATAATTAACCTCAATCAAACCCTTCTACAGTTTCACTCACCGTCGATTACGTGACCTTTTAAGGCTACAACCAACAATTATTGTCATTATCAGTTATTCTGTCTATGTGATTATTCAATTAATTGTTTTGCACTTAAAATGTCAGAACATGCCAAAAACAAGCTCTTATTTTGTCCGAATAAGAGTCCGTATTTCTAGATGAAATACTTAGAATACAAAAAGGGAATGCCAGACGCTGGAGTTGCACCGGTCTTCAATGTCACACTTGCCCCAGTCAGCCAATTGAATCAAGCAGGAGGCGGGCTTTACTACTTTACCACTTACTTCCTGTTTTGATGCCGGTAGATGTGGTAGGGCTAGCTAGCTAGTTAGCCGATGGGCTGTTAGAAAGAGCTGCTTTGCCATAGCATTTTTTCAGCAACCCATAAAAGGTTCAGGGACGAACCATTGCACCATAGAAGGGTTCTTTGTAGAACCTCTCATAGGAACCTTTGAGAGACGGTTCAGTCTTTAAGTTGGGTTCTCGGTAAAACCTTCTGAAAGAGTTTTTCTATGGGGACGAGCCACAGAACCCTTCATGGTTCTTCAAATTATCACATTTATGTCTAAGAGTGGAGGCTGGATTCCAGTTGTCTATGTTTACACACACCGACTTCATTACAGCAAACTCTACGTCTACGACTTTGATGGTTCAGGATCAGTCAGGTCCAGGCAATGAAACATTCATGAATTCCTTTTGATACCGTAGCAGCGCCGGTCCAAAAACTTCTAAGGCAAGAACTAGGAAATATTATGCCATCTATACTTATTTTGTCCAGAATATTTCATGCAGCACCACCTCAGTAACTTTGTCTCCAAGAAAACATCCCGGAGCCTCAGTTTGTTGAGATGCATACCAATGGAATCTGTTGCACATCCTCACCTTTACAGAGACATAACACAAAGGATAAGCCTTGAACAATACATCCATCACCTCAAAAAAGCTACCGCAACATCAGCAACTTCTGAATACGCCCTTCATCACTTCTTCCTAAAGTTCACGTGTACTTTTCAAATAACCAAGAAGAGAATGGATTTCACCTTCTTAATAATCTAAATTAGAGAGTGAAAGTCATCCTCAATAAAGTACCCATTACTCCAAATGTGACCTCACACTTTTCTTTCACGTCCTACCTGTAACGTCGAGCGGTAAGAAGTGACCCGGTGTTCGCCTCCCGAGCTGCCAGCGCGGTTTGTCTGCGACAGGCGGTCCGGTGGTTGCAGAGGTGGCCGTGCTGCTGCTGTTGTTGCTGCTCCAACCCAGCGGGGGGCGATCCGACCCGCAGGGCGACGGGGTCAGGGAGGGGGAGGGGTTGGTCGCGGACCTCAGTCCAAACACAGAGGAGGTGGTTTCATCGTCGTAGAGCTGTTTGGACGCCGGCTAGAAGAAGAAGAAAGGGAGCGTGAGACGTGGGGAGGAATCGTTGCTTCAGACAGGCTTAAACCTGCATTAATTGATTCACGTTGGCCCCTTGGGGTCAATGCAATAAGCTGTAAACACAACCTTATAAACAGGATGATGATGTGGAAGCAAACACTCGCCTATTTACTCACCCAGCATTCATTCTGAGAGGTTTTTGGGCACAGGGCACATTTAAGTGCAGTAATCTCTCCCTTTTAGCTCTGCTTTGGTCTCCATCAACATCAGAGGGAAATGTGTGGCTTTTTAGCTGCTAAATGCTCCTTTGACACTGACTCTGAAAGCTGCAGAGTTGGGTGGTAAGATTAAGGGCTATGAATGGCCGATGTGAATGGTTTCAATCTTCTAGAATTATGCTTTAAATCCTTCAAAACACAAATTCACAATTAGTTCTGGTCTGTTTCCTTCTTGGTCCCAAACTGTTTTGTACAACAAATGTGTGATTCCCGGAGGAAAAGAGGACATTGTTGTAGACCCCCGATTTAATTATCTGGTACCGTACTTCAAACTTCCTTCAAAGCTGATGTTTCTGGCTTATTTAGCAAATTAAAGAACAGGGTTTTTGTTCTTTAAATTGGTGTAGAAAAAATTTAATTACAGCAAAATTCAATACAACCGAGTAGACGAGAGAGCCTGATGGAGGTCAACTACTCCTCTACTTCCACAAGAATACAATGTTTAGCTCTCTTTAAGCTGCTTCAATGCCAGTGGGAGGAAGGAAAGCTAAAACAGATAAGAAACGACAATAAACACAGTACGTGTCTCATGATTTACATTCATATAGCCAGGCCATGAAACCCAAACAGCTTCAGAGGGTAAACACTTCACTCTGTAGCCTCTTCGATGAAATACACGTGAGAAAAACCACGTGTATGTACTGTAGGATTTCAGATATCTCGTTGGAATCTGCCAAAGTTCTAATTGAAATTAGCCCAAACAGAGAGAGAGGCATTAACTTAACAGAGCTGTTTAACAGCTTACCCAAAGGAAACGGAGCGCCAGTATGCAGGAAATGTGCGGCCATCTTGCAGTAAAAATCACCGTGGGAGTCCGTCAAGCTGCCGCAACGACACAGTTTGGGGAAAATAAACTAAGAGCTGTTAGCAGCAAAGGCAGAGAAGGAAAGAATAGGAATGGAGAGCGTCTGTTTCATCCTTTGTACTTCTTCACACGTTGCGTTTCAAAGAGCATGAGCTAACTGACTAATGGCACGGATGCCATTCGCTATTCTAATATCTGATCAAGCATGAGAGATATTTCCGTCTGGAAGACACCGAACGATTTGGTATTTGTTGATGGAAAACCTGCTGAGAGTGTGAAAAGGATGATGAATAATTCTGACAAATGTAACAAAAGGGGGCGGGACATATTGTACAATAGTCTTTGATATAAAAAAGGGACGACAACAAAGGCAATGAGGCATTTTGTCACAACATGAGTATTAGCTGCAGCAGTGTTAGTGACACTGAAATTAGTGCTTTAGTGACGGAGGAAGCCAGACTTCCATTCAAAATAACTTTTAAACACAAGAGTGCTTCAGGCCTACAACCAGGAAATGGCTTGTAGTCAATGTTGTTGTTGTTTTAATGGGCTTTTGGTTGGAAACCTGAAATCAGGTCTGTGGTTTAACGGTTTGTTCTACGTTGTTTATATTTAATCTACACCAATATTCTATAAACAACCATTGTTCAGCTTTGTGACGAAGTGTTTACAGCGGATCTAAGAGGCGTTTTAAACACTGTATTTTGTGAAAAAGGGGCAGAAGAGATGGATTTATATCCTCTACTGCGAGGACAAAAGACGTTAAAGGGGTCCACTCCACTCTCCTTTAAAATGAGGTGGGTAACAAACCCCTAAATGCCTGATGTCTGGTTCACTGAGCTGAGAAACCAAAGTGTAGAATACCTTTAGAGAGAAACTGTAGTGCAGGAAATAAAGAGTGGAGGAGAGAAAAGGCCAGAAAGGGCAGAATGAGTGGGACTGAGTGAGTTGAGTGGGAATGTGAAGGCTGCTCTCTCACTGTTCGGGGAGGAAAGTGAGAAAGAATAAGTGAGGTGGACACGTTGTGGTTTCTGTGTGCGTTTACTTGCAAGAAGTGTGATTAGTTTGGAGACTATAAGAGGACGAGAAGTGTGTGTGTTTTTCTTTTGAGTTAAGTCATTTTGTGTGTGTGGCTTCAAAACAATGGTATATGACACTTAAACACGAGTGTGTTTCCTCACCAGACAGATGGCATTTGGTGTGTGAGGGCGCCCTATGATCGAATAAGCATGAGTGCACGTGTGTGTGTGTGTGTGTGTGTGTGTGTGTGTGTGTGTGTTCACCAGGAAGATGAAGTCCGATCTCTTGTTGTTGAGGGAGACGGGCGATCGGCTGAGTGAGGTGGACGCGTCGTCGGAGCTCTGCGAGGACGGATGCCGGAAAGTCTGACCGGTCAGCTTGGTGTCGTACAACTGCTCCTCAAAGTCTGCACACACACACACACACACACACACACACACACACACACAGAAACAAAAGTCAGTTAGCATCAACAACAGTGCACACACAAAAAAACAAAAGTGCACTGACGCACACACCAGATCTCCTTTCTCTCATGGCCGTGAGCAGAGATCCAGTTGGACTCCTGCTCTGCATCACCCCGCTGTTTCCCTCCTGCAACTTCTTAAAGGACTCTTTACGTTTCTTTCTGATCCTCTACTTGTTTTTATCTTAGATTTTCTCTCCTTTCATTCATTCCTTCTCTTCAACTCCATTTTTCCCTTTCCCGTTCCTTCTTTCTCTCACACTTCCTCCCGATATCTGACTGTTTTCTCCCTCTCTGGCAGCTTAGGCTGACTCTCCCTCAGGCCATTGTAAACAGATTCCTAACCCCCACCTCCCCCCTTCTGTCTCCCCCCTGCACACACACACACACACACACACACACACATTCCCCCTCAAACCCCCCTCAGCCAATCCTTTACCCCAAAACACACTCCCAACCCACTCCCCACTCATCCCTAAAGCCCTCTAGCTCACACACACACACACACACACACACACACACACACACACACACACACATCCCGGCATCATCCTGCTGTCAGCTTCAGTGGAACAGCAGCGTCAGTAAGGCACAGAGTTCTGGGTTGAACTTGCTCTCTGGAACAATATGGATTCTTTGCTGGTGGCGTATCATTGCCTAGTGACACTAGTGACACATCTGTGCATATTGTCAAACTGTGATATTAGGAAATGTAGTCATAAGTGGGACTTTTAACGGCAATCAAAGGAGCTCCTATTCAGCATCAATCGACACACATATATATACTGTATATATAATCCCATTTATATGACATTGACGTTGGATTGGTTCCCTGCTAACGGGTCACCATCATTTACGGCACAAAGGAAGTGGGTCAACCATTAGCGCAGCTAAAACAGGAAGAGGATAACACTTTTGTTTCCCCCGGGTGCCATCAGTAGCTATAACCAGTTACCAAAGAGTATGAATGTAAGTTGTTGGTGGTTACGATCCCCAGTAGCAGAAATGGCAGACGGTGGAACAACAACAGTTCTGTGGAAAACCATTTTTGTGCAGAGTTGCCAACTCTTTCCCAGTGAAAGCAGCACGAGCTCCAAAAGTCAAAGACTGTGATCTGATCTGAGCGACATTCAGATGGACGATATGATGTATCATCATATATTTCTTGCTTTTCCCTGATGGTCTGAATAAGTCGCTAAATGTGCCGCTAGCAGGAAAACGGAAAACAGAAGTCGCTCCAGTTGTCTTTACGAAATACATATTGGTATTGAGAATCGAGTAAATGTATTTACTCAAATACAAATCAATTTCTCATAAATGTCCAATTCGAAAAGGTAAGGAACATTTGAGGACTTAGCACAGGAGCTACAAAGCTAAACCATGAATGAATGCTAATGTTGCTCTCGATCTGCTAAAAGAGTAAAAACTGACAGTTTGTCAAAACAACTTTTTACAGTGACAATTTGTCAATGTTCAAACTTATTCTGCTGCCTCAAAGAAGCCAAAAATCATCAATTAATGCTGCTTTAAATGCAGTTCTATTACAAAATGGAAAGCAGTTTGGAACATCCTGCGTTCTCAGTCGTATTGATCACTGTGTGCTTAAAGAGACCTGCTGAACTACCTTCCTGCAGCATCCATATGGCAAAGCACACTTTACAGGGTGAATACATCTGTTGTATAAGCCTCAAGACTTCACGCCTGCTAAGCACATTCAAAAAAGTCCGTAGTCTACAGAACGGAAAAAGTTTGTCAGGTGTCAGATTCGAGCGAGCGAAGGCAACGTGGGAGTGTTTTGGAGTCATGAAGAGAAATTAATAAACAGCAGCAGCACCACAAAAACACCAGAAGATAATGATGAGTTTCTTTGGATGCGGGCGGGCGGGTCCACCCACCCACAGATTCTGTGCACTTTTCTTTTTAATGGCTTTTGGGATCATTGTTGTTGACATCTCCCCTCCGCTCAACTAAAAAGTGCCGGCAGCGGGAAAACATCTACAAGAGCTCGCCCGTTCTGTTGTGTAATTACGCCTCTAAACTTCAGAGGAAACACGGGGCAGCTTCTGCTGCACACACACACACGCCTTCACAACCTTCAGCGGGGATTCTAAGACGACGAAACAGACTGTCAGTCGTCATTTTCAGCTTTTTGAAGGTTATTCAGTCGAGCTTTAAAAACTGGAACAAAAAGGTTTTCACAAAACGAGGATTTTTGCCTTTAAACACACGTAATATATGTTTTTAGAGCTTTTATACAGAACATTGTGCAGAGAAAAAGTGTCATAATCTTTCATTTTGGCAACAGGGATGATTTTTCTGAGGTTTTGCATCAATGCATCAATCAATCGCGTTGTGCAGGACGGGTTGAGCTTCATATAAACTTTATTCCAATCTTGACAAAGGCAGCGCAGAGACGATCCACTCCTTTCCCCTCTTACCTTTCACAATAAAAGCCTTAGACATATAACATTCACAGGCGATTCTTCTGCGTTTTAGTGTCGTTCATTCCTCTCTCCTCCCTTTATCTAAAGGCCTTCATGCTGCTCCTGGTTCTGCGTCCCAATAGAGGGACACTGACAACAATTTTCCACCATATGTTCACAGTTAGGTTTTATTCTCTTCTGGTTTTTGTAGCAAATACAAAAAGCAAGTGAGAGAAAACGAGAAACAGAAGAAGAAGACGTGATTCAGAAACGAGCTGCTTGGGTGGTCGAGACGCAGCAGAAGCTCCGATGGTTTGGAATCAAGTTCCTTTAAATGTAAGTTTTTTGGGAACATGCACGCCAACAAGACGCAGGATGTGACCAGGATCTGACCAAGACACAGGCCTCCTTTCAGCTCACCAACTTAATCTGGTTGGAAATAAATGCCCCCACGTGGAGAAAGAATCAAAAAACAAGGCATTAATCCCAATAAGCCTCATGCAAGCTCCTGCTAACTCACAAACAGACATGACTCATACGGTATTAGCCGCTGTGATGTGCTGCAGCTGCAGTGCACAGTAAGCACTTCATATTTTTAAATGCTGTGCTGCTTTCTAATAGACAGTCTTTTGAGTAACAACTACAGACTATATATAAGAAGTAGATGTAGTCATCGTGACGTCACCTATTGGTTTTTGGACTACCGTTTTGAAGCCTGGAGTTCGGCATTTTGGCCGTTGCCATCTTGGATTTTGGACATAATGGACCATAATGTACTAAATGAACATCATGCTGTATTGAAGAAGACTTGAAACTAGAGATTGAGACCATAAACTCATGTTTACAATGTTTACTGAGGTAATAAATCAAGAGAGAAGTAGAGTCATTTTCTCATAGACTTCTATACAACCAGAGGAGTCGCCTCCTGCTGGACATTAGAGAGAATGCAAGTTTAAGGCACTTCAGCATTGGCTTCACTTTACAGAACCGGTGTATGCCTAACTACTGAAATAGCTTCATTAATGGTTAATGAATCATTTACAAATGCTTTATATTCCACTATAACCATTAATAACAACTTTTGTGTTGTCAAATTGTAGGAAAAAAAATAATTTTCCATTGGAACACTGTCTTTTTAGCTCTTGATGGATTATTATACGAACCCTGTAATGACCTTTTCGCATTTTAACTAGAGATGATATATTAACTTTAAATGAATGCCTTTATTAACATGCAGAATGTACGGTTGTTGCATCAGTTGTCTCTCTTTGAAACCAAACTATTCTGTTTGCAATTAAAGTTTGGACATAAATATTCATATTGAGGTGATAAACTGAGAACCTTTTCTTCACTGTGCATTTGCCAATTCCTCAGGAAGCTCTGAGACGTTTCTAGACCTTGCTTTAAGACAACACGTCCCTGGCTATTTGTATTCATAGAAGCATATTACACACCCGGTGCTCATGATCGAGAACTGTCTATTTTGCAGTGTTAAAAATAATTGAGCCTCGCTGCTGGCATGCAAAAACAGCAGGATCAGCCGCTTGGTGAGCAGAGAGCAGAAGCCAAAACTCATCTCATTCAGACTGCAGCGACCCAAAGAAGCGAGGCGTCAGCAAGTCCGAAGACACGGGGGGGGGGGGGGGGAACAGACTGATAGAGAAGAGGAAGAAAGGTACTTGGTAAGACTCAGGAAAAGATTGTGGTTTCGGTAAAAATAAGCATGTTTGCTACGCGACAAATCTCAAGTACAACAGGTCAACGTTGACTTGGTTTCACACGGGACACAAACAACGATCTCCTGAGGGAAAGTCCTGTGTTTGTCAAAACCTCCGCCCACCCTCCCTATGTGGACCTACTCAGTGTAATGTCATCATTTGCTGTGATCGTCTAATAAAGATGGATTTACATTGGAGCTAGATGAAAGCCTAAAGGGGGCCTCGGGCTTCGATATCAGACGCCAAGGGCCACTGACCAAGCGTTGCTATTTTTCAAGATGGAAGTGAGAAGAGGTCGTCATAAAAGAGATGCAGAAGAAGAGGAAATAAGAATAATGATGAAGAAAGGGTATGAAATAAGAGAAAAACAGTAATCAAGGAGCTAAATTGGTGCAGATGCGAGAGAAGAGGGAGAAGGTGAAAAGGGGACAAACTTCAAAGAGTTTGAGAATTTTAAAGAAAAAAGACACAAATGAGAAATGAAACAGACAATAAGAAGAAGAAGAAGAAGAAGAAGAAGAAGGATTACAGTAAGAAGAAGCAGAGAACAATTAGGAAAAGGCAGCAGAAGAAGAAGAAGTGTGGAGCGGTATAAAGACGAGGCAGTTGAGGAAGAAATATTGGAGAAAAGCAGCAGAAGGATCCGAAAAAAAAGGTTAAGATGAGAAAGTGGGTGTTTAAAAAGAAGAGCGTGGAAGAGGAGGAAGGGAATTCACACAACATAACGCCCAATCTGTCGAAAACTAGCAGCACTAACAGGGTAGGAGATGTTTGATCTGGACCAAAAGTTGGGTGATGA